GAAATTACCTTACATTTTCCCTAACTTTAGTTACATATCTTTACTATTTTGTAATAATTATCTCTCCCTTGCATATGTTGCATTTAAAATGCAAATTGAGGTGCATATCAGTATTCGACAGTTCTGGTGAAACAGTAACTATTTGTAGTTTTTTTTCACATAATTCCACTCTTCTGCCATCTTCTTAACTTCATCTCATTTTCAGTGTACAGCAATGTAAGTGTTATCTCAAAACTACCTTTTGGTCACTACTATTTTAATTTTAATTTGATTGGTAAGACTGTGTATAGCTTAACTGCTTCTTTGATATGAAGATTGAAAACTACAAGTCCATTTCCAAGGATGAATTTTGGAAAACATTCCTGTGAGATTCTATATTTTATTGTGGTTTATTAATGGCAACCTGAGTCATATTTGCAAAGTAAAGGAAGTATGTTATTAATTTCTTTCCATATCAATCCAATGAAGTGGCAATGATCTAGAATTTTTTATTTTTAATGACTGAAGAAAAAGTGATGATTTCACAGATATGTCACTGCATAATTCTGGGACTGCACATAATGTAACTACTGGCTTAGTTTCAAAACAGTAGTATTTACAAAAACAATGTGGATAACATTCATTTTCCTAGGAATTAAAAAGTGGATCTAAAAGACATGTTGAAATTTCACATTTTTAATTAATAAAATCAATCAATTTTTGCTACTGAAAAATTTGCTTCAGAGGACTACCTAAAGCTAAATCATATGACTCAGGGTATTGTTGAGATGATCCTTGAACTCTGTCAGTCATGATACTATGACCACTTCTGTGGAGAGCCAGCCCCAGAGGCTGACCACTCTCTCAGTAAAGAACCTTTTCCTAGTGTTCCATATGAACTACCAGATAATCTGTCTGTGGCACCTCTTTTGTCTCTAAGCCAGATCTTGGACTGAAGCTGTGCTGGCAGCTTTGTGAAATTTTGAATTTTTGTTGTGAAGCAGATGATGGGATTGTTGAAAGGCGGGAGAGCACAGAGGGATTATTTCTCAGGTAAACCTGCCCATTGAGTTAGTCTGCAGTCACACAGGACCTCTACAAGAAATCAGTTTATGATTTTTCCCAAATGTATTCACTCTTCATAGCTATACTCCATCAAAAGTAGTTTTTCTGCATGTAGTGGCAATTAAAAATCTACCCTTGATTCTTCTTCTCTGTATTATATTGCAAGGAAGTATGTAATTTCAGTGACTTTTTGGGCAAAGTTAATTTATTTACCCAGCTAGAAATACCTGTGTTACCAGCTAACTCTCATTTTATGGCACTTTGAAGTTGTAGCATCTACACTTGAAAAACCAAATAATTTATTAGGAAAAGGTAAGAAACTGATTCTAAATTTTATCTTGTCCCCCTCCGGAAAAGTTCAGAAAAGTCTTTGACTATAAATGTTTTCTACAGTTCAAAATTAATTTCTTGAATATCTCTCCTTTCACCCTGTTTGGAGCAAGTTGGAATTATGTGTGTGGCTCCCCTTTCCCTCAAAGCTTTGAGGGAAAATTAATATTGCTTTAAGCTATCTATTCTGGGGTAGAACTTCAATACTTAAATCTTTCCTCCTCTTCACAGCTTTCCTTTATCTTCTGATGATTAATGGATCATCTCTAAGACATTTGCACAAACACCAGAGAGTACAGAGAAAGAAAGAGTAAAAGTGTTTTGATTCTTATATTTTTTTTGCAAAGTATTTCTGTGCAATAAAACAGGATAATCTCCCTGAGGTTTATGGTTTATTTAATATTTCTCCCGTATCTGATACACATTTTTCTCTGCCGAACGCTGCATGTTCACTGATAACTGATGTGCTTAGCAGCTGTTGCTCAGTGTAGCTCTTCCAGGTGTTCTACCTAGACTATCATACTGGCATGCTATTTAAAATCTCATCTCTTTGTTGCCTTCCTATTGTGAATCCTTTTTTTCATTACTCTGAACTGAAAAAAATATTTTGTGTAATGTAAAAGTAAACAACAAAGCAAAACCCCTCAAGAACAACAACAAAAAAAATTCTTCACAAGGGAAAATAAACCTATATAGAAATGTAGACCAAAACTTTGTGGTAGTTGTATTTGATAAGAAGATAATAAGTGAATTCATTTTACTTTATAAATTTCTGCAACATTCAGAAAATCATGGGCACGATCTTACTTTCTTGTCTTATCAAAAGACTTGTAGGTTTCAAAGTCAGTGAAAAGTGTGCCAGGAAGAGTTCACTGAAAGTAAATTGAATGAGACAGACCAAAATACAGAACTAAAACCACTGGCCACTTACTTTCCTGCTTCAGATTTAAACAGTGTTCTAATTGCTTTCTTATAAAAAAAAAAAAAAAGATTTTATGTGTGTAGCTAAATAAGAACAAAAAGCAGTCTGGCCATTCTACAGAGCAATAAGTTACAGAGTAATTTGTATATTTCTAATAATGTACAAATTAGTATTCATAAATGTGTGATTATGAAGCTAATATTCTAATGTAAAATCAAAAGAAGGACGCATCTAAAGATTATTTAATCAAGCTGCATAATTCCAAGGAAATTGAAAAAGGGAAGGGAAGTTCTGGGAAGGGAAGTTCTGGGAAGGGAAGGGAAGTTCTGGGAAGGGAAGTTCAGGGAAGCGAAGTTCAGGGAAGGGAAGTTCAGGGAAGTTCAGGGAAGGGAAGAGAAGTTCAGGGAAGGGAAGGGAAGTTCAGGGAAGGGAAGGGAAGGGAAGTTCAGGGAAGGGAAGGGAAGTTCAGGGAAGGGAAGGGAAGTTCAGGGAAGTTCAGGGAAGGGAAGTTCAGGGAAGTTCAGGGAAGTTCAGGGAAGTTCAGGGAAGTTCAGGGAAGTTCAGGGAAGTTCAGGGAAGGGAAGGGAAGGGAAGGGAAGGGAAGGGAAGGGAAGGGAAGGGAAGGGAAGGGAAGGGAAGGGAAGGGAAGGGAAGGGAAGGGAAGGGAAGGGAAGGGAAGGGAAGGGAAGGGAAGGGAAGGGAAGGGAAGGGAAGGGAAGGGAAGGGAAGGGAAGGGAAGGGAAGGGAAGGGAAGGGAAGGGAAGGGAAGGGAAGGGAAGGGAAGGGAAGGGAAGGGAAGGGAAGGGAAGGGAAGGGAAGGGAAGGGAAGGGCTGAAATTCTAAAATGTGTCTTTATCCATAAAATAACAGAAAAAAAATAAAATAAAAACTGAATTTTTCTAGAGAAAAACTTGCCCACAGCGTTCAGATGAAGGCCAAACATTGAATTTAACAAGTAGTAACATCGGAACTAATTAGATAAAGCATCAAATATCATCACCACCTCTATCAATTATCTTTGATTTCTTCTATTTTCTTTTTCTCTTACCTGAGAGAAAGAGATTCGTGAAAGGGCTACTGAAACTGATACAGAAAAACTTTATATAAAAAGTAATCCTTATAGCCTTTTCTCTTCCTTTTTTTAATATGATATTGTAGTCTTAAATTTATCAACTAATTAGGCTCCCCAAACTTTCAAAATTTTACTAAATTAATAGCAATATATAAGTTTATGCATCCTTTATGGTTTAGAAACATGGTTTAACCTTTCTTAAGAGTCTGAAATTAATATCCTTGAGAACATGAAGATCTGATTTGTTCACTGAACACAGAAGGCTTAGTGCAGTCTCTTGTGAGAATCAACTGCAGGCAAACATTTATCAGCGTGAAGAGCACCAGCAGTCCCTGATGATATTCATGTGTTTAATACTCATAATCAATCACATTTACCAAAGAGTGATATTTTTTAATTTTGTTTGCCTTAACTTCATATTGTCATTTTGTATTTGCTTGCCCCAGCCTTCCATGCTTTTCAATCAGATTCTGATTTATTAGCTGACTTGCTATTCCTATTACTGCCTCATCCTTTCCTCTTTCAATTCAAAAAACTGTAAACATGGTCCATTACCATAAGAAAATTTGTCTTGATTTCTGATAAAATTAAAATATATAGTAGCTTGTGTAAAATAGCAGACATAACTAAAACTATTAAATTATGGCTCAAAATATCTAAAACCTTTGAAAAAATCTGTTTAACTAGTACCTAATTAGGGAAATTCCTTTGTTATAAGTAGATTGAAATTAAATACAGACATCTTGTTTACATTTTGGAGAATGACATTTGTATTGTCAATTATATAGTTATCTGATGAAAAATTATCTGGTAAAAGTAACATATCCTCTGGTGTAAACAGCACACCTTCAAAACATGAAGAACTGCTGAGACTGTCTTACTTGCAGATTTGAATTTCATGTGGCTCTAACTTCTCGAGGATTTACAATTCATTATTTAAACTGAATCTTTCAACCTTGGACTAATTAACTTGTATTCCAAACTGGAATATTTTCCCTCTCAAATCTTTTTAAAAGTTGAATGATTCCATCTTCCTTATCCTCAGATAAATATTAAAAGTATGAGTCCATGAAATATTTCATAACTTGTGAACAATTTAGTGGGGGCACAGCTGCTATTATTATACATACAATTTCTGTTCTCTATTTGCACAGAAAAATTAGGCACCTCTTGTTCCAAGGCAAAGCAAGGTCTGAACATAAGACACAGCAACGTTTGTCTATCAGATAACTATCTTTAATCGTGTCAGGGCAAAAAAAAATCCTTCCATGAAAGTGCCTGATCCTTAACAACCTTACCAACCATAAAGCTCAAAAAAGAAGTGGAAATCATGTCAGCAATCATGTTTCTCTTGGAGTCAATTAAAAATTTCCAACTAGATCTGGTAGGTTCTGAATATCATCTGCTGTCTTTCAGTATGCAAAGATGGGCATTGATGTACAGCCCACGGAGTGCTCATTTCCCCAGTGTCCAATGAATGCTGGTACATGCTTCCTCAAGTTCGTTTAAGTTCTTAGGGACTGAACACTTTCAGATTTTCTGCCCAGCCTACCACAGGACTGATTATTGGCTCAGATACTTACCTGTCATACAGTAGCATAGTAAGAAAGCCTCTTCTGCTTTATGTTTCAGTGTCACACAGTTAAGGAAAACATGATGCAAGTCTAGTGGTTTTTCAGAATGTATCCATGAAATAAATAGTACAAGATGGTAAGTCACACATTACCCTCATTCATCTAAGAAGCATACCCATGTCATCCGAATGGGAGGTGTCTTTCCTCCCTTTCTCCCACCTATAGACTTGTCATGAACTCCCCTTGGAATTCCTAGTAAAACTGTTTGCAGAAGTCCAGGGTTGAGACCTGTCTATTTAAGCAGGCAAAATCTCTAAAACACCCTTGAAACTGAGGTATCAGAAACAAGTGATATGCTGATCCAGGAGCTTGCTGACTATAATTCATCAGATTGTACTAGTGTGCTATTTTTCTCAAGCAAACCAAATTTACATTTCACAACTGTATTAGATATGTGAACAGAGTTAACAAGAAATAAAATCTATGGTTATTTAAGGGATCCCAAAGTCTTTGCTTTAATTTTACACGGTTGGTATTTAAAGTGCAACTAAGAGAACCAGAACTGATTTTAGAAGTGATTCTTCACTGTAAGAGCTGAAGGAAGTGGCAAATCACACTCAGAAACCTTGATGTAAGCTGTAACCTTACATAATGCCACAGTAAATCTTAGTTCTAAACATCCAGCCAAAGTTACAGCAAAGTGCAATGCAGCTGTTCTGCAGGCCATATATCATGCCTTTTTTACTATTTTTATTAGAGTTATTTTCTTTATCTTTTAAAATTGAAACTGAGGGATCTTATTTTCCAAATTAGATGGATTCTCCATGATCTTATGTTCAGTACTTATTTTCTTTGTCTGATCCTCTCTTAAATTTTCTACTCTATTTAGCTGTACCATCCTAATCTCTTCTCCTTCTGGCAATTTTCTCTTCTGTTCTTGATATACTAAAATATCTGTTAACTGTGTTATTTTCTCAGGTACTGGGTTGACCCTGGCTGGACGTCATGTGCTTACAAAAGTGGCTCTATCATTCCCTCTCTTCAGCTGGATAAGCAAGAGAAAATGTGATAAAACCTTGTGGGTTGAGAAGAGGATGAGGAGGGATCACTCACCAATTACCATCATGGATGAAATGGACTCAGCTTGGGGGAATTAACTGAATTTATTATCAATAAATAAGAGAAGGATAATGAGAAATAAAAGCAAATCTTAAAAATACCTTCCTCCTAGCTTTCCCTTTTTATTCCCACTTTTCAACTTTATTCCCAATTCTAAAACTCCTTCTGCTAACACTGCCAAAGAATGGGTAATGCAGGTTATGGTCAACTCACCACACATTATTTATATTGTATTTTCCTTCTCAGAGGGAGGATTGTTTCCCCTACTCCAGTCTGAGGTTCTTTCCATGGGAGATAGTCCACCTAAAACTCCTAAAAAATGAGTCCTTCTCTTTCCCACTTCTTGGGTCCTCCACATGCTGCAGGTGGATCTCTGCTCCACAATGGATTCTATGGGCCGTGGGGGCACAGCTGCCTCACCATGGTCTGAACCACAGCCTGAAGTGACATCTCAGCTACAGCAGTTTCTCTATCCCCTTTGACCCTAACCTTGGTGTCAGCAGAGAAATTTGTCTCACATATTCTCACTCATTTTTTTCTCTGCTACAGTAACTTTTTTCCTTTCTTGAATGCATTTTCCCAGAGACATTTGATAAGGGCTCAGCCTTGGCAAGGGGTGGGTTAGTCTTGGAGCTGGGTGGCACTGGCTCTGTTGGACATGGAGGAAGCTTCTGTGGCAGATTTTCAAAGAAGATACCCGTGTAGCCCTCCTCCATACCATAACCTTGCCATGCAAACCCAGCACATCTCATTACTGTACTTTTCCCTCTACACTCATGGTTGCTGCCTGTGCAAATTTTTGTTCCCACAGTTCATGATTTCTACCCCAAAAGTCAAGTAAAAGAAAGGATCTATGCCTCTTTCTTCCTCTTGGTGCATGTTACAGTACTGTGAAGGGACAACAAGGCACAAAAAGGAGTAGTGTGCATGCTTTTCCATTTCAATTCTATGTTATATTCACCTTGATCTCATAAAGTGGTCAATTCCCATAGAACTTGGAGGGGCGGGGATGAGGAAAGTATATTTTAGATTTTTTTTTTTACGATATGATCATTCTAGTCTGATTTGATTGGCAATGAAATGAATTAGTTTCCCCAAATCCATCTGGACTTGTATAGCACATGTGACAGTCCCCTGCATGACATCCTTGTCTCTAAACTGGAGATACATGGATGTGATGGATGAATCACTAAGTGGGTGATGGTCCCACTCAAAGAGTTGTGATAAACAGCTTGATGTGCATGTGGAGTCCAGTTATGGACTGAAAATAAATGCCACTTAGTTATGAGTGGCTTTCCTCAGGGATAAGTATTGGGACTGTACTGGTTGCCATCCTTGTAGACAATATGAATAGTGAGATCATGTGCACCTTCTGCAAGATTGCCAACAACACCACGCTGTGTAGTTGACGTGCTGGAGGGAAGGGATGCCATCCAGAGACACCTTGACAGGACTGAGAAGTGGGCCCATGTGAATGTCATGAAATTCAGCAAGGCCAGGGCAATCACAGGCACAAATACTGGATGGGTGGAGAAAGGATTGAGAGCAGCCCTGAACAGAAGGACTTGGGAATGTTGGTTGATGAAAAAAACTCAACATGACCCAGTCATATGCACTCACGGCTCAGACAGCCAACTGTATGCTGGGCTGAATCCACAGCAGTGTGACCAGAAGGATGAAGGAGGGCATTCTGCGCTTCTACTTGGCTCTTGAGATAGCCCACCTGGAGTGCTGTGTCCAGATCAGTGAAGCCCCAACAGGAGGACATGGACCTACTGGAATGAGTCCACAGGAGGCCATAAAGATGATCAGAGGGCTAGAGTACCACTTTTATGAAAGCAGGCTGAGAGAATTTGGGATGTTCAGCCTGGCAAACAGAAGATTCTGGCAAGACCTTACAGTAACCTTACAGTACTCAGAGAAGGCCTACAAGTGTCCTTGTTTAATCCCACCCAGCAACCAAGTACCACCACACATCTGCTCACTCATTTCCTCACCACTGCGATGGGAGAGAAAATTAGGAAGAGTAAGAGCTAAAAATTCATGGATTGAGACACGGATGGTATAAAAGGTAAAGCAAAAGTTATGTATGCAAACACAGCAAAACAAGGAATTCTTTCACTACTTCCCATAGGCAGGCAGGTGTTCAGCCATCCCCAAAAGAACAGGGTGCCATCACATGCAGCAGTCACTTTGGGGAAAAAACTCTATCATTCCAAACATTCCCCTTTCATCCTTGTTCCTCTCAGTTTATGTACTGAGTATGATGTCATATGGTCTGGAATATCCCATTGGTCATTTGGAGTTACCTTTCCTGACTGTGTCTCCTCCCAGTTTCCCATACATTCCCAGCCGCCTCATCAGAATGGCAGTATGAAAAGCAGAAAAGGCCTTGTGTCTGTGTAAGCCCTGCTCAGCAATAACAGAGACAACAATGTTGTGTTCAGCATGAATCCAAAACACAGCCTCCACTGGGAGGAAAACACACCATACCACATGAAAAAACAGCCCAAGAAGGCTGGAGGTGGACATTGAGCAAGGGAATGCAGTGACAGGGCAAGAGCAATTGGCTTTGCACTGAAGGAAAATAGATTTAGTTTAAATATTAGGAAGAAATTCTTTACTGTGAGGTGGTGAAGCACTGGAACAGGTTGCCCAAAGAAGCTGTGAATGCCCCATCCAGTGTTCAAAGCCAGGCTGGAACATTGTTGTTTTTGAGCAAGGTGTCAGCCATAAAGGTGTTCCTGTCCGTGGCAGGGATGTTGAAACTAAGTTACCTTTGATATCCCCTCCAACCCAAAGCAATTAATGATTCTCTGAAATTTGTTTTTCACATGACAGTATTTCCTGAGTGATCTCTCTATTCTTTTGTCAACACATGCACCTTTATTTTCAGATTTTTTCCCTTGTTCTTTTAAGGAAGCGGAATGATAGACTAACTTGACAGGTATCTGGCAGCCAAAGAAGGTGAACCCGCCCACTTGTATTTGAAAATTGCTGCCAACTATGACTATAACTTTGTGTCCGATTTCTACACCTGAAAATACACCAAATTGCTGTGAAAATAATATGTGTGTTATGTGATGCACATGGAACTAATGAATTTTGTAAGATACCATACATGTAACCTAAAATCCAGTCAAGGAACCCTTATGATACACTCAATTAATATGAACAGTTCACCATTGAACAGCCAAGTTAGGGTACATTCACAGTTTACTCAGAAGAGAAAATAAAACCCATTTGTTCACAAACAGCTCTGACTCAGATAAACTAAAAAGCAAGTCCCTTTGTTCATTGCACTTGTCATTAGAACTAGATTTTCATTCTTAAAAGCACATTGCTATTATACATACTTTTTAAAAATACTAAAGCTGTGGATTGTAATGCAGATACAGAAAATTCAATGGAAGGCTGAAACAAGGAGGACAGGGAAATTTGGCTGCACATTAATTAACCTAGGTATGATTGCAACCAAGCTACTATACCGATTCTGGTATTGTCCACTGACCTTTCTGTAGCTGAGAGGATCGCCTCTGATGGAGTTTCCATAATTCCTTAAGCATTCAATATTTTCTGTCAACAGGCAAAAGGTGAACTATTGCTTTGAACTCATGTAAAAATGCCTGTATCTCTATCAACTTCATTTAGTATATCAATTTTTTTGTAGCATTGGAGATCTTGTCTCACTACTAAAAATTTAAACATCACCTGATGTTTCAATTTTTTAGTAATCTGAAAGCCATTTATTTCCTTTATCCTGTCAAATTAATTTCATACTGGCAACATGAGTTTAGGGACTTTATATCAGTGCTGTTGATTGACTGCACCTTTAGAAGCACCTTTGTAATTCTGATGTCTCTGGATGAGATATGTCCTCTGGATTTGAAAGAAAGCTTTTAATCATATAGAATGAAGCTACTCTGTTTCAAGCCTCTTGGGGTTAGCTTGATAATAGATTTTCTCCCATAGCAGTGCTCATTATCTGTAGTCAAAACCAACAGTTTGATTATCCCCTTCCTTTCAATTAGGCCTTTGCACCCATGGGGCCCAGGCATGTTGCTGTATTGATATAAGTTAACTTTCAAGCTAGTTTTGCAAGGTGTCACAAGGATGGATTGAACAGTAGAGCTTCAGTCTTACCCTGCTGCACATTCATTCAGGCACTGAGAAGGATCAAAGATAACCACAAAATAACCCCTTAGTTAAGACCTAAGAAACACATGGCAAGATTCGGAGGCCAATTCTGTGTCAAGAGGCATGCCTAGTTTATATTGATCTCTACTCTCATGAAAATACTGTAGAACAATGGGAAAGCAATGTACTGAGATTATTTTGTGACTCTTGACATGAAAACTCTGTTAGATTACCAGTATCTCAAAAAAAAACTTTTGTCAGCACAAAACCTTTCCTGTACCACCTCCAATAAAAATGTGTGCATTTTTTCCCTTCTAATCTTCTGTTTATGACCTTGTTTAAACAAAGGAGAGAACAAATATCTCTAAGTGTGGCACTTGCATGCAACCTAACTTTTAAATTATTCCTTATCGTTACTACAATAGTAAAACCTGAAATATTTGGCATTGCCTTTATGGGATTTGAAAACCCAGTACCACGTAGTTCTAAAGTTTACACAGTGAATATCCCCCCCACCCCAAAAAAAAAAATAATCACTTTAAAGCCAAAACTTCGTTCAGAAGTATAAGGTTTATTACATATTGATATATGCAAATGGTATATAACCAGTGTCATTTTGAATCTAAGTATTAACATTATCATGGCAAAAGTTTGGAATGAGTGAACAAAGCCAATAATTTCTAAATATCTTCTGTTAAAGAGTGCATTTGGGTTGAAAAATATTTCAAGAAAAAATAAAACTTTTGAATTGCTAATTCTGTGCCTGAAAAAACACATAATCTGAAAAAAATACTGAGCACATTATGTGTGGCAGTAAGTGTGAAGAGAAGATTCATGGAAATAAAAATTTTCAGGTGGAGAAGTGAGAAATATTGCTTTCTGGTAGAGGAATACAAAGATTTTGATAGCCTGCATCAGAGGAATGAAAGACCTGTAAGGGGGCATGAATTGAAGA